ACTCCATGCCACGCCGCATTGCTGCAGTAATTCAGGCAAAAGGAGCCCCAACTAAGTATTGAGTGCTGTACCTGCTCATACTTTTCATGTTCATACTTTTCAGTTGGCCAAGATTTCTAAAAATCCTTTCTTTGTATTGGTATTCAGTAATATTCTAATTTTCTGAGATACCGAATTTGGGGTTTTCATTGGTTGTCAGTTATAATCATCAAAATTAAAAGAAATAAACATTTGAAATATATCAGCCTGTGTGTAATGAATATAATATACAAGTTTCACTTTTTGAATGGAATTAGTGAAATAAACCAACTTTTTGATGATATTCTAATTATATGACCAGCACCTGTGTGTGTGTCTCACACAACAGTAGCACTAGGTTTACCAAACCATTTGAACAAAGTGCCACTGGTGAAGAAGAAAGATGCTTTCAGACAAATCTCATTCTGGTTAGCTACTTTAAGCAAAAAAGTTCTTATGGAAAGTTGCACCCATGGTGGAGCTCTAACTGGCTACCAGCACCTTTGAGAACTATACAATAAATTACAATACAGCTGCCAAATCTTACAAGTCCTGAAAACAGCCAGTTTCAATAAGGTAAGGACAAACACACAAGAACACTTCATTAGTTTTAGTTTGTACAAATATTTATTCTTACACACAAGAATAATGGATCCATTTTAGATGATGCCAATCTGTAAAGACAACAAAGACAGACATGAATTACAGTATTTATCAGAGTGAATACATGTGTATCTGCACTATGTGGCATCAGTGGTTCCTTTGAATGCATCACAGACATTCAGATCATATTAGTTTACATCACTTGCACAGAACTGACAACTACTGTCAAACTGAATTCTAAACAAGTCTTCTGCTGGAGACTCACCTTGTTTGCAACATCCAACGCATCATAATCTGGTGCGAGACGAACATACGCCTTCTTTTCACCATCAGGCCTGAACACGGATTACAACACAGACGTGCATGATGAAGCCATGAGTGGAAGGCGCAAGTACAATCTTTCATGTCACATTTATACTAAAGGAAACATCACAAGAGCAAAATCCTAATAATTTGTTATTCGAGCATCACATTTAACCCCACAATCAACTACTGAGCCCATCCCACAGGAACTGCCACACTGATTACAAACCTGTCAGCTTGCAATATACCAACATTACAATTCTAGCATGAATTAGGAACGATGTATTAAAAGCAGTACACCAGATTATAAGTGAGCCTTCCCACCCTCAGTACTCGCACCCCAAGTTCCTCTCCTCAGCGAGGCAGTACAGACATGAGCCACCATGAAGGTGTATACTGTTTTTTTTTCTGCCTAATGCAATCACTATGCTAAATCAGTTCCACAGTTCATGGGAATGTAGTCATTATTTCATGGATGCATATTCCTATTATTTTGTAAAGTGTGTTGCCATGCAGTCTTGGTACATACAATGTGTATTTTTTTAACTGAAATGAAAGAAATTTCCAAAATGGAAACAAAAGTTCTTGCTCGTTTAAAAAAAAAAAAATCATATCAGTTCAGCAATTATCCATTAAAAGCCAATATATAAAAGCCTTGCTTAGAAATCCTACCTGATGAGTGTGTTGACTTTGGCGACATCAATGTCGTACAGCTTCTTGACAGCGTGTTTAATCTGGTGTTTGTTTGCCTTGATGTCCACAATGAACACAAGTGTATTGTTGTCTTCAATTTTCTTCATGGCAGACTCTGTTGTCAAGGGGAACTTGATGATGGCATAGTGATCCAACCTACAAAAAAAAAATATTTTTTTTTAATTACTACAAACCCACAAACTATCTGCAAGACAGACCTGTAAGAACCTATACTACTGAAAACAAATGTATGTAAATCGCTCATTTTCCAATATTTACAAAATAATAGTTTTGGCTGGGTGCATCAGTAATTAAAAAAGCTGGAATCATGCTTTTTCATACTTTGATCGCTATTACCATCATATGCACCAGGTTTAATCTCTCAAAATTTAACAGGAGCCAGTAACTGTAACTCACTTGTTCCGGCGAGGGGCACTCTTGCGAGGATATTTGGGCTGCCTGCGGAGACGGAGGGTTTTAGGGCGACGGAAGGTGGGAGAAGTCCTGATTTTCTTCTTCCTCTGGCTGTGTACACCTTTCAGCACAGCCTTTTTGGCTTTTAAAGCCTTTGACTTGGCCTCTGTCTTGGCAGGGACAACTAAGACATGGAAATATCATTTGTTATAGAAAGTCAGCTGTTCTTGCTCCTCCAGTCTGTAACTTGGGTGATACACCACAAAACACTATGGGGAAAAACTGCAAAAGTACCATCAAGTCCCTCTAAATATTCTGAAACTTCATCACAACTTACCCAACTAAGGTGAATCATTACACTATTCCATATATCAAGTATCATATGGCGAAATCCCATTTACAGTGACAAGCTGAAACATTAAAACAACGTTCTGTCTAAAGCTACAATAGTCAGATTGGCCTCAAAAGGAACCAGTTAAAAGAGTACAACTGAAGGACATTTTCTGGAACTACATTTTCCACTTTCATGATTTATTCCCCTCGTTGTGGCACAGGGTGCACCAATCAGTTTGATTATGTATGCAGCCAGCGTTATTTGATACCAAAAGCTACATTTAACTTTTATGCAACCACGAACTCCTGAGACATATGACGAACACTGAAACATCAAACATTCCCCGAATTCAGTGTTAAAGAACCAGTTACCTACAACCAACGAAAGGGCTAAAGTTTTAGACTGCTGTTTCCTTGTAACATAACATCAACTTAAAAGGCTAACTCTCACGTGTAGCTAATGCAATGCATCAAACACCGCTAGCTAAGGTGCAGCAAATGCTACTTAACCTACCAATTCTATATCCAAGACTACTAACTGCTTTTAATTTTAACTACGTGGCCCTGACAGATTGTGTATGAGGAAACCAGAACACGATAACAAATGACAATAGACAGCATTTGTGTCAGCGGCATCAACGCTAATATTAGCTTAGCATTATGTTCCCGCATACATGCCGGAGAAACACTCTGGGTTATGTACATATTTGGGCAGATGGCAGCAATTCCCTGAAATAATGTTTACCTAGCCTTATACCTCTGGTACGTTCTTTGAACCCTGAAGATGACTTTCACGTAAACTGTACCATTTAGTACACCAAAACGATAGGATAAAACTGACCTTCCTTCTTCGCCTTGGGTCCCATGTTGAGAAAGGAAGACCGAACGGGGTTTTCTGCAATATAATGCATGGGCGAGATCTCACTAGCTATCGCGATATGTAAGAAAGTTGAACTCAGTTAATGGTTCTGCAGATGAGGCGCAGTGTTTATTGTCACACCAGCGAGATTCCCAAACTATAATAATAATTTGCTTTCTACCGTTAGTTCGTACATCACCTGGTGGTGGGGCCAACTTTTTATTTACTGAATAAATACATATAAGGCAACAAACAATATGAAAATATACTTTTGCTGAGCTATAGGTTTAAGCACATTCTTGAGTGGAGACATTGCACATTATATACAAAGAAAGGCACTGCCTCAAGTCCTAAATAATATTTCTTATAATAAGTATCTGAGCATAACACCACGTTAACATAACATTATTTGATAGATACAGTACTGTATCTGCACACAATGTATTATCTTGGTGCTTTTTTCCTGTTTGACTATTTCAAGAAAAAAAAATCTTTGCTTCAAAATGCCAGGAGTGCAGGTTTTCATCTCCCTTTAAAAATATCTAGACTATAATAAATAACATTAAATGTAAGGGGGGCTGCTGCTTCTGCTGCTGATCTCAGAAAATCTTTGTTGCCCTTGGTGAACTGTTTAGCTGAGGATCCTACTTAAAATTAAAAACACTTCTGGAATACAAACAAGTTTTCTGTTTTTGCTTTCTCTGCACCAAATTTAGTGATAACAATTGGACATTTCCTTAAGGAAACACATTTCCCCACCTCTCTCATGGGAACAATTATTTATATTAAATGGTAAATGGACTGTATTTATGTAGCACTTTTATGCACTGGCCCAAGCGCTTTACAGGGAGATTATACACCATTCACACACCGATGACGACAAGGCTGCCACGCAACAGCGCTAGTCAAGCCACCGGGAGCAATTTGGGGCTCAGTGTCTTGCTCAGGGACACTTACACATGTGGGGAGACCGGGAGTCGAACCACCAGAAGACGACTTGCCCTACCTCGTGAGCCACAGCCACCCATATTATTTCACCGCATTGTTCAGTGCACTTGGGTCGAGCTTGTTAGTTCAACAAAAATTCAACTGGTTGATTCACTGAAAAACAGTTTATTTATAGTCTGATAATACAAAGCACAAATGTGGAAACTAGCAGTACATCAGATGCATCTGTGTGCATCACCCTCCACTATTCCTCTGGTGGCTTATTTTTCTTCTTTTTTCCTGATAAAGAGAAAAACAGACAAAGACAATCTGAATTAGTTCCAATTGTTTTTGATCAATATCCTTACAGTCTTTTATCTCACAATGAACTCAGTCGAGATACTGGACATATTAATTAGAGGAGTTCTATTTCCAAACCAACACTGAGGATGCCCTTCGTCCCACCATCCTTACTTTTTTAACTTGGCTCCAGAGGAACTGAATCTCATCTTCTGTGATGCCGCCTTGTGTTTTTCTGTTCCCCCTTCTTTCTGTGTTTTATTTCTTTTCTTCAATCCGTGTTCTTTGGTTTTCTTTTCTCCCTGTTGCTTTAGTGCCTCTGGTTGAGCTCTGATTTCTCCTTTCTGCTCTCCACTCGCTGCCTGCTTCTGTGCTTTTTTAGGCACTTTGCCTTTTTTCTTCATTAAGAAGCGAGGGGTTGTGCAAATGGTGCTTCTCTTGGGAGGTTTCTTCTCTAGTCTCCTCTTTACTTTGCTAAACACAAACAAATACAGATGGACTATGGTGACCATATTACCAACACAAAATTAAAATTGACCAAAGAAGAAACAAATAAAAGCCCAAAATGTCCTTAAATGTTTGGGTTATTATGGAATGTCACTATCATTATCTATCTCCGTTACTATACCTGTGTATCTTCTTGAAGCCGATCATGTAGTCAGGTACAGGACAGCCAGCTTGTTTTATAACATTAGCAATGCTATTAGACAGAGATGCACAGGGAAGAGAAAAAGAGTAGATTGTAGAACAAGTCACAGCAAAAACACAAGACTGAGGCTGCATATTGTAGAAAAAAAAACTAGATAAAGAAGTCATGTGACTGCTTGTTAGAAAATACAGGTAACATGGTTTGAGTTGCTGTGACTCAGCACTGACTTGATTCGATTTTGCTTTATTAAAAGGATCTCGAGTAGCTGATGAAATGAAATCAGCTACTCTTCCTGGGGTCCATACAAATGTTAAAGTAAAAATAATTACAAACAAAACATAATAATTAAAAACCATTACAAGGTATGATACTAATAGCAACATAAACAATAATTTTACAACCTCATCCACATGAATTTGTTCCAAAAGGGTTATTTCTTGTACATAAAGCATGCAGTGAAACTATTAGTGATAGGGCCATTGGATGTTGTCTTAATTATCTTTTAAAACTAACTTCTACAACTTTCTAAAAATGAATTAATCAGATAAAAGTGAATGAAATTCAACACAAGTAGCAGTTTTCATTTTCTAAAGGATTTTTTGGGGGACTTCTTGCCTTCAACAGTCGACAGAGGAGATGGAAAGGAAAAAAATATTCAAACTGAATGAGAGAACTGAAGGTATGTGGGGCTCCATAGAGAAATCGTCTAAATCAATCTTGAACCTGTTCATTTAGAAGTTTGGCAGCTTACATTTCTCACTTTTCCTCTTGCGTTTCCCATATCTGCCCTACTAGGTTTGGATGTGCACACTTTTCACCTTCTTTGGTTGTAATCTACTTGGCAAACATCATGCAGGAGCTACTTTACAAGGCCCTGAAAGTTGTGGTCTCAGACAGACATCAGAGCAGTAATATCATGTTTGACCTGGTACCAATTACCGCAAGCATCTGGCGACCTGTCTGCCTCATCTGATCTTTGATGTTTCACGGCCAAAGCCTCATTTTGATATCAACAAATCTTTCAGTTCCAGATGCAAAAACAAACTGTACCAAATCAGTTTGCAGTTTTATGTACCTGCGCAGCAGTGGCTTGTCATTTTCTGTGAAGAAGGTGATGGCCTTCCCCTGGTGTCCAGCTCTACCGGTACGTCCTGAGGAAAACCAAACGGAAATTATTTATTTTATTATTTTGATTATATGATTAAGCATTTTGCTTGTAAAATGTCAGTCACAATGGCATGACAGCAAATGTGACCAGCAAATGTTTGGCATTTTTTTTATATAATAAATGCTGAGAATTATCAATTGTAATCAAACTAGTCACCAATTCATTTGTTGTCGACTGACAAATCAGTTCATTGTTTTTAAGCCAATGCACAATGATTGTGCTAAACTAACCGATTCGGTGGATGTACTCCACTGCACTGGTGGGGAAGTCGTAGTTCAGCACGAGGTTAACTCCTTTGAAGTCGATTCCTCTTGCGAGCAGAGCCGTACATATCAACACCCAAATCTTACCAGAGCGAAAACTATTCACTACGTTGTCCCTCTGAAACAGAACAACCAGAGGAGATGGATAAATACCATGCTGCGTTTCAGTGACACACAACGGACCAATGATACAGCGTATTAGGCATCTATGTACCTGCTGCTGTGTGCGTTCTGCATGAATGACATCTACATTGATGCCTTCGTACACCAGCTCATGGAAGAGTTCCCGTGCTCGCTCTATAGACTGAACAAACACCAGCATGGGAGGCAGAAAACCCTGAAACACAGCAAGAGGGATATCCATCAGAATCTGAGCTTATAATTCATTAATGTGTTTTTCATGTCTCAAATGCTTTTCTCCTTAGATAGCAATAGTTTACCTGTATCTTACCAGGTGTGAATTTAATATATACGAAGAATCCAGGTTTGTCTTTTTTAAATTGTGCTCAGCAAAAGCAAGTAATCAAACTCATGATTGTAGGATAATCTATTTCACAAAACGATGTTAACAGGAGTTCACACTCTGGAAAAGAAACTGCTCTGGCTTTCCGTACTTTTTTGATGATGTCCCTCATTGCCACTAGTTTGCCGTTCTCTGTCCCTACAAACAGCAGCTCCTGTTCCACCGTCTCCACTGCCGTGTTCCTGAAAAAATTATACATTCATTTTTCTAATGTGAGAGGAAAAAACAAACAAACCATAAAACCATCAAAATGAGGAGTGTTAAAGGTTACCTGTGTCCGATGTTGACAGACACCAAGTTGTCAAGGTTCAGACGGCACCACTTTTCTACATCTGGCGTGCAGGTGGCACTGAAGAAAGCTCTGTGCACCTTTGGGCCACAGCAGGCCAGAAAAATTGTGGCCAGCTGCTCTCTGAAGCCTGTCTTACCATCTTCAAACAGCTTATCAGACTCATCGACAACCAGCCACTCCACACTGAACAACACAATACAATCAAACTTGATATTTTTAAGGAAAAAAACTCATAGAGCAACAGATCGAATGTTACCTGCTGAGGTCTAGAGCTGGAGGATCCTGCTTAAGAAGGAAAATGAGTCTGTTTGGAGTACTGACGAGTATATCTGCACACAAAAACACAGCATCCAAACAATACAAAAAGGCGATCAGATTTCATGTTTTATCTCTTCTGTGTTTAAAAAAAAAACAAAACCTGCCACTGCTCACCATATTTTTTGTTTGACTGCGGTCCATATTTCTTGACTGCCAGCGAAGCTTTGTCTATAATGTGAACCCTAAATCTGACTCCCTCTGACAGGCGAAGCAGCTCTCTGTAGGTCTAAACACAACAAAGCAGAATTAAACCATTAAAGTATGTGTGATCATTTATCAAGAAAAAAAAATCTAATCTGAAACACGTGTAAAGAAATAATAATAATACATTGTCTGTTTAGGATACCAATATTAAATTTACAGTGTTGCAGTAATTGAGTCCAGGACTCAAGTCCACCTCAAGTTCTAGTTTTCAAGACTCGACTCGACTTGAGTACAGATGACTTGGACTTGGACTCAAGCACTGACTACGTTTGGACTCTGAAGTTGGAGACTTTGATTCTTTTTTTTTTTTTTGCAATAGGCCATAATTAATTTGGCATAAGATATAGATATTAAAACCTGTTTTCCCACACCATGCTGTATCCAGCACACTTCCATCAAAGCGTATACTCCACCTTTCTATAAATTTGTTTTATGTATCAAGTCGCAAAGCAATATGGTGGTGCAATGCACTGTTACAAAGTTTGGAAAATCAGGATTTTATACCTGCAAACCAGCAAATGATGTGTTTAAATGCAGACCTTGATCCGGACTCGGGGTCTCGACTCGGACTAAAACACTGCTGACTTGAGACTCAACTCGGACTCAGGGTTTTATTGACTTGATTACAACACTGTAATTTTATCAAAGGCCAGACTTTGGCAAACACCCAGACAGTATAATGGTCATCAACAAATTGTTGGTAATGCATTGCAAAAAAAAAAAAATCAAAACCCAGTCTCAAAGCTCCACTAGAGTTTGACAGAAGCCAGCTAAAGCTCTGCAGCTTCTTAGTGCCAGTTTGGACACACATGAAACATCAGCAAACACACAAAAAAAGCAGATATACCGTAACAACCAGTGCAACCAACAAATCAACTACATTATTAATTAAACAAATGTAAATCACATTTGAAGGACATTCTTGAGTATTTTAGAAAATATTCCTGGGGAAACACTAGAAACTGATTTCTAAAGTTACCAGCACAATATTAAAGTTGCACTAATCAATATCTTCATATTGCTTATGGCTCAAATGATGACATGTAACCCAAAAGGAGTCACTCCTAGAACCAGAGAATTTTCACCTAACTCTGCAGTTCCTTTCAATTCTACAGTGCATTTTAGCATCTTTCAGCTCATTTGGGGTTTTTTTTTTGTCTGCAGCTTTAATGCTCTATTCAGCAACAAGGCTCTGATAAAGCCATTGTAAGCTACCTGCCCAACATAGAACACCAGTCAGACACAGCTACACAGTAGGCAGTAAACACTGTGGATCATTTAGCAGCTAAAGAGCCAGATATTTCCCTGAGGAGTTGGTGAACACAAAAAAGAGCAACATGGCACCAAGTGAATTCTGCAGGATGTGTAAATGCCACATGCAAGTAAAACATTAGCAACAACCTTATAAGGTGAAGTCAGTGTTGAGTTCATAGCTTGTTTCACTGGTCCCATCCCATCTCCAAGCATTGAGCTTATAATAATAGAAAATAATAAAAGGTAAAAATCCTCTGATAATGAAAATGGAAAAAACAAAGAGAGGTTTGTGTGTGTATGTTTTGTACCTGGCTGGCCAGTTCTCTGGTTGGGGAGATGATCACAGCTCTAAAGCCCAGGTTAGCTGGCTGCTGCAAGTGGGCGAGTAGTGGCAGGCAGAATGCCAGCGTTTTTCCTGATCCTGTGGGAGCGCAGGCCAGGAGCTCCCGACCCTGACAAGAGAAACAAGGCAAACAGAAGTCCTCATAAAACCACCGGGTGTACACTGTTTACATCCTGCTTGATGTGTGTCAGCCTGTACTCACATGCATCATGAGAGGCATTGCCTGCATCTGGATTGGTGTTGGGGAGTTCAGCCCCATGTCCTTGAGGTTCTGAAGGACACGTGGATTGAGATGATACTCAGTTTGCAGCTCCTCAAATGTACATAGGGGGTCAGGTACGTCGCAGCCATGCACATTTATCCGGTGTTGAGAACGAATACGATTAACCTAAAATTAATTAAAGAGCAAAGCAACTTATAGGTAGATATCATGTTTGCAGTTGTCTTCATTACAAAACATTAACCATTTAATTCCTTATTAAAGACGCTTTTTGTGCTGTAGGTTGTATCTTTAAGTGGACCTTTTGTTGATGAAGATGCTTCAGTGTCTTCTGTGAGTTCCTCTCCTTCCCATCACTTGGTAGATTTTGAATCTTTGTGTCCAGTGCGGAGGTCCAGGTGATGCCGTTTCCCACTGCCTCCTTCTGTGGTCCACCACCAGCTGCAGTCAGATAAATGACAGAGAACAACACAGTCTATCATATAGACTGCTGTTATTTAGTTAACTCCCAAACATCCACGTCCTTTACCTTTCGCCTCCACCTGGTTCTTTTTCTTCTGCTTCCTCACGTTTCTCGATTCATCCTTTCGCTTCCTTTTGCCTCCTGCGCCAGAATCCCCGCTTTCACTTCCATCCTCATATTCCTCGCCTCCTTGATCCTCCTCCAATCCTGTTTTCCTTTTCTTGGCTCCACTGGCTGAGCCTGTACCAAAGTAATCGATCGCAGAGAGAGAATCTGAGGACGCTTCCCCTGCGTGAGATCCGAAAACCTACGGCACAAAGCAGGCGTACGATTCATAGTTTTGTCCTATCACACAGCTAAAGAACTTCAAAAAAGGCACCCAGCAGTAATATATATATACCATGTATATACACACAAAATAAACATTACAACATGCGTTAGCGCTAGTATAATGCTAGCCAAAATATAGTGAACTTTGGCTCTTGTTGCTGCTACGTATTGCTATTTTCTCGCAGTATATCATCAGGTATACATGTTAAGTTGACCTTAAACCGAGCAGCGTCTTGGCCAAACCTCTTCAGGTCAAATTTAGCTCCAGCTCCGAGTTTCCGAAACAACTACTCGAAGCGGTCCATCGCTGCAACAGCGTGGCCTGTCGGGTTTGAGGCCAAACTAATCAACATCCGGATCATTCACCTCTGGATCATCCAGTCCAGTGCCCCCTGCAGGCTGCGTTTAAAACTACGACCTTACTTCTTGATTTTGCTACTGTCCAAATCCCGTGATCTTTCATCTCCAGTTCTCCTACCTGAGGAAATTTGTGTTAAAAAATAAAGCGGGTGATTGTCAACAAATCCCATTAAACGTCTAAACCCAAAGTTAAGCCGGTCCGCCTCGCCAGTTTCTGCATTCTGTATGTTGTCTGTGGCAATCAGCCCATAGCCTACTGACTCCCACTGGAGAGCACTGTAAATTTTAAAAATGAGTCACAAATGAATAATTAAAAAAAAAAAACTTTTAGAAATGTCATAAAACCGTTGATCACTATCACTAAAGTTAGGTAATCGAACTGTAGTTGATTAATACACTTGCTGTGTACTTAAATTCGCCACAGGAGGACTGTGTATTCACTCAAAATAAACTACATTTCCCATGTTGATCATAATGAAGGAACATGTCATCCAGTGCAACAGTGTAGCAATTATTATTTATAATAGTTTCTACAGCACAGTGGAATATGCTGTTATTAGGCTTTGGCTATTGTTATTGTTGGCTTTGGCCTTTTTGAGATTTGTTGACAGGAAAAATTAATCACATTATCTTTAAAAATGTCTATCAGACATCAAGTCATTAGAAATCACAGATTTATTTAATTAAGGGAATATTTTTCTATCAAACCAGTGACTAGTACAAGTTGTTACTTTCACATATTTATACCTTCTGCAAAAGAAAATCACTGTATTTATTGTTTTATACATGTAATGGGGCTGGGTAATATGAAATAAACATAACAATATTAAGAATGTCTTCCCAATATTCAAATGACAAATTAATGTAAACCTTGATCCAGTAGTTCACATCTCTCCTCACATGTAAAACAAGAACATCCGTTATTCATTTTGTTTACATAATTTTAACTTGGACAACATAATTCTGTTAAAAATATTACAACCCAGCCATAATGCCAAGTTTTATATTGTTCTATTAACTGGTTTTTAAAATGTATATTCACTATATTCGTCAAGGACCCCACCCACCCCCAGCATGGACTGTTCATACCGCTACCCTCTGGGTGGAGGCTCAGAAGTGTGAAATGCAGAACCTTTAGACTGAACAGCTCTTTCTTTCCCTCTGCCATCAGACTCCTAAACAGCTGACTCAACAGTACAGCTGTAATTCCATCTGTACTGTTTTACATACTCATTTTGCACATGCATAATTGTACACTCACTGCTTAGTATTTGCACTCCACTGCTCCCATGTAGCATATATTCTCTCTGCATTATATTGTGTTCTTGTATTTTTATTTGCTTCATTTACTTGCTGCTTTAAAGTGCCTTAGATTTGTGATTTTACTGCCTACTTGGATTTGTGTTATTGCTCACCTACTTTATATGTCACTTTACATTTCACTTGTATTATGTGGCATTCATGTGGATGGCAAAGTAAGAATTTCACTGTACAGGGAAACATGTTCCCTAACTGTGCATATGACACAAACACTTTGACCCTTTGGCTATATGTCTTTGTATAGCACATGTTAATTCATAAAAGAGTGGAAGTTCAGTTAGGTAAATACTATGATATAAAAAGTCACTGCCAACCTCAGGATGTCTGAAATGAACATGTGAAAATTTAATAACACCTCAAGACAGTCTGAGAAACGCTTTTGTGGTCCTTGAATGACCCGTCTTCAGTCACCAGTTTATTAGTTTGTGGGTGGATGCTTCTCCTTTGGCAATCTGCCTGCCCTGATCTGTCCCAATCTCGGTTTTCTGAAATCCAGAACTGCATCTGGAGATGTGACTCCTTAGAGTTCCTCACAGGTTTTTAGCAAATCCTCTATAAAACAAACTACTACCTCCTTACCCCTCTTCTTCTCTCCTGTTTCTTCCCCTTCAGCCTTCAGCCTGATCAGAGTCTGCTGCAGACCAACAATTCTCTGCTGAGGGAGGAAACTGCTACCCCCTGCATCTTTTTCACCTTCTGCCCCCTCTCCTCCCTCCTCCACTCTCAGATATTTGATCAAATGCTCTCTGATGACCCCGCCCTCCTCGCCAGCCAGTGACTCCCCAAGGGCAGGCATGTCCTGGGACTGGCTGATGCTGAGCAGGTGTAGGAGAGCTTGTGAGAGTGTGTGTCGCAAGCTGGCACTGTAGCGGAACTCTAAGAAGTCATTTGTGTCTTCACTGTTCTCGAGTGCTGTGGCCAGCGAATGCCACACACAGCTGAACTGCTTCGTATCCCCATAGCAGCCGCGGTGGGTGGGGACAGCCAGGGCAGCGGCCGATTTGATCCGTACCTTGAAGTTCTTGCAGGAAGTAACGACATGGCACAGGGCAGAGAAAGCGTCACAAGCCCACGGGGCTGTGTCTGAAGAAGAACAAGGAGATTAACTGTTAAGCTTGACTTTCACTTTCATGATTGCATGCCAAAACTTGTAGTCTTTAGGTGCAACTAAAAAAAAAAAATAAAAAAAAATCTATGAAACCAGTAGTTCTCTTCTTCTCTCTGTAGATGAGCAGAAACATTTGCATGTATCTTAGCAGAACTAAAATTCCAGCTTAACACCACCAGGCCCCTGAAGTTTGTTTGGAAAGTCAACATTATGATGGATTTTCATGTATATTTTATAGAATTTCTTTTAATGCCATGGGAAGAAACACCTACCAAGTGGCAAGGCTGGGTTTCTGAAAGCATTTCCCATGGCGTAACAGGCATTCCATCTGACTTTCATTGTAGCCTCTGATTGGACAGTTTTTACAAGTGCACGAACAGCATCTTCCAATGGGCGTTGGAACACAGACCGAGTCAGCTGAGTCTGACGCAGGAAATGAAGCAGATTCCCAAGTGCTCTCACTGCGTTGCACTTCACCTGAGAGTAAATAAAAAAAAAAAGACAAGTTAACGACATCATCACAGAGCAGTTGAGTATAAATATCAGTCTCACTAATGAGGTTATAGCAAGCAAGTTGGCAATAATTAACATAATCCAAAAACTAAGAAATACCCTTCATTCATGCATGTTGCACAGTCTGACAGATGTGTTCCATCTTGTTTACTGACTGATCTCTTTGAAGTCATTTCATAACAAAACACAGTGTGGCCAGAAATCTGAAGAGGTGTGTGTAGAGGTGGGAAGCTTCTTACCCTGTCCTTGTCGGCTGATGCTCGGGTGGCTGCTTGTAACATCTTGAGCAGCAACATGTCTGATAACTCTTCCTGGAAGTTCACACCTACAGTCTCCCTGATGAAGAGATGGGAAATAATAATAAATTATATTTCTTGAATGCTGTACTATGTTATACTGATTTTCTAAAATCACTTACACTACCAGACACACTTTCCCACTGAATTGAATTGGAAAGTCTGTCCAGACTTCTGACTGTTAGTGCAAGTGTTTTTTTTTATATATATAAAAAAAAACATTCTTTGTTAATAACTAAACAAGAGTTAGGCATTCTTTTATTTTGTATGTTATTCAAGAATAGATTACGTCAATGAGGCATGCAGAGTGTTTTCTAAAGGATTTACTTAGCATCATGCATGTTCAGAATCAGAACCAGAATCTGCTTTATTGGCCAGGCGTGTCGGACACACACGTTTTCTTACATGTTGATAATAAGTGTGTCTGTGAGGTTGCCGAGAGACCAGGCAGCCTTGGCACGAACATTTGGAGATCGATCCTCAAGGGCAGCAAGGATAGTGTTTGCTGTATCTGCCACAAACATCACATCCTGAAAAGAAAAACAATATCACAACCTCAGAACACATTTTTATGGGTCCAAAACATGTTCTGTAATTTTTCCAGACATTAATCTCCTGACAGAATGCAGAGATTTGTGCTCAGTCTTCTTACAGTAAGAAGTCAATGTCTTTACCTCTCTAAGACAAGGGAACAGTATATAGACTCCCAAAGCCCTGACAGCTGCAGTCTTCACCAGGTAATTCTCACTGTAGGTCAGCCCCAGCAGCACAGTGATGCACATCAGCTGGGTCTTGTTCTAAAAAAAACAAACAAACCACAATGTTACACATCACACTTACAGCTCTGTGAAGCTCAGCATTACTTGTAGAGTTCAGTCGAAGGAGAACTTACAGGCAGCTGCGCGAACGCCTGTGGCAAGATGGAAGAGAGCGTGTCGCAGGCACTTGTCTGCAGTGTTGGATGTTGTTCGTTCTGCAGCGCTCCGTTCAGTGGGCCGCTGAAGACTTCTGACCAGAACTGCACCACCTACATGACAGAGAGAGAGAGATAAATAGATGGGAGTCATTGTTAAAAAAAACTACTAAAAACTGTTCAGCAGCTCTGAGATTGGTGTATATAGACAAACAACATATACATATATAAATATGAGTGAAGGGGTAGGTTGTACTTACTTGACTCATGGGGACCCTTGAGCTCTCAGGCACGTTGTTCTCTGCTCTGTACTGCTGGATTATTCCTGTCCCCAGCTCCTCTAGTAACTAAATAAAAGACAGCAACACTTTTGTCATTCCTAAATATCTGATATGTAAATACACTCAATTATCAAAATGTAAATTTATACATTCACACACACTAGGGCATTACCTTTGCTCCATGCAGCTGTATGGAGGAATCCATTTCCCCAAGGCAACGCGCGCTCACCTGCCCAATCTCACACAGGCATGTCTGGGTTAGAGAGAAGTAGCCCCGCACCAGGTGGGATAGGACCTGAAACACACATGGCATACTTAGAAGAAAAAAAAAAAACAAAACACCTTCAGACTTCAGAAATCTCTCTCTTTCTACCTTCTGTCTTGCCCTTTATTTCTCACCTGCAGAGCTTCTAGTCGGACAGGGGAGGGCTCCAAAGCAGAGCTTCCACCTGTTCCTATTCCCTCACTGTCTGACTGGTCCTCTCTGGGCTGGGTCACCAGTGACACGCACAGCTGCAGGAGCCAAGGCCGCACTGTTTCCTCCTCCCCCGGTGTGCGAGGAATGTGGGGTGTGTGTGTGTGTGAGCTGTGCAAAGAGGATATGACTGGTGTGCGAGATGGTGAGGAAATTCTGTCTCTGTTTCTCCAGCTGACAGTTGAATCTTGTGGCGTGACTGAGCTAGTGCTGCTACTGCTGCCCTCTGGCTGTTGAAGGAGGAGCTGCACTTCGGGAAGAGGAGCTTGAGTTGTCACCAGAGCCCCGTAGAGTGTCAGGACAGACACACGTACATTCACGTCTGAAGACAGAGAACAGTCAATTAAAAGAAGCATCACTTACTGACCTGGTATTTGAGAGCGGTGCCAAAATACAGACCTCTGTGGCGCACATAAGGACACATCTGTTTCCAGAGCGGACTGAGCAGACCGGGTCTGAGACGATGGTATGGAGCGTTTGCCACCAGGTAGGCCAGACACTACCAGAGTTGAGACAAGGAGATATGCTGTTAGGACAATAAACCCATATGCCTAAGCTGCACACCATCTCATGCTCACTCTCTTTCATAGGTTCATTTTTTATCCGGTCCATGTATATGTCCATCATTTTGGTCCACAGTGAAATATTGTAACAATTATAAGACTGCACCAAAGTGAAGGAAATAAATATCAGTAAACAAGTGGTGTTGCTTGCCATGATGTTCAGGAATGTCAATTATTATATCAAGAAACACCGACTCATCGCTTGTAGTACAGTATGCTGCTGTCATCTGACTAGTACTCAGTGCTCTTATCTTACTTTTCTTGTTTTCAGAAACTGCACAAAAAAGGTCAGTGTCACTGCCTCCCTTCCTCTTTGCTCACAATACTTACTGTGAATGAAAGCAGACTGTAATAAAGCAGCTTGCACATCATTCAGACAAACACTAATGATGCTATTTATCACAAGCAAATGCAGCTATATAGTATACTATATGAATAAATTAACCAATATAACCTAATAAAGACATTAATGTTAGTTGCGCCTGTGAGCATCTTTGTTGTTCACTGGATGAATTTGTAGCTACATAACTTTCCAGGTAACTTAGTTATGAGAGTTAATGTAAGTGAAGGTTGATTGATTTGCACTTGAACACAGTCCAGATTTTACCAAAAAGGTTCATTTCCACTCCATGTAATTACTGACACTCTATAACTAAATATGTTAGAATTGCAAAATTATATGTTGACATTAATGTTATCTTTTCATGCATATCCTGGCTGAGGTGAAGTGTTATTACAGTGTCAACAACTGATGGGAACCCTAACTTGACACAATGCTAGAAGTGGAATCTGCTCAGAATGTATGCTAGCTCTCTCGTCTCCTTCTCTCTCTCGTCTCCCCTCCCTCCCTGTAGAGGCTGAGTTTTTGCTGTAATATCAACTAGGTAGGATTCTGACAAGAATTGAGGGAAACATGGCAAGACAGTTACGATCAGAACCGACAGTGATAGACCCTATGTAACACTCAGATTACATTACATTTTGATACATTAGCAAGTAATGAAATAGAGACTGTACAGTGAAAAACAAACAGTCTCTCTCTCTCTTGCCGTCTATTATCAAACACTGAGTGGTTGATATTAATTGAACCTACCCCTGCTCACAGCAGTCACACCAAAGATTTCAAAATATGAAATCCTCAATCCTATCTGGCCGAGAAACAGCTTCTGCTGCTGTATGAAAACATCACGTGCACCACACACAGAACTGCAGTACACCATAATACGAGAACCAGTAGTAATAATAATTAATGGATATTTGTTAAGTTTAGTTATGATTATAATGACATGTGTTAATGATTAATTTGGAGGGTGGTGCGTGTTGCCCGTCATAGCAAAGCAAGTTTTTTTTATGTTAATATATTGGGGGGCATTTTAAGCATGTTTGAATATTGGGGGGGGATGTGTCCCCCCGTATATATTATAATTACAGCCTTAATTTACAGGGAGCACCACATGTGGAAGTAAAACAAGTCGTCACTGTACCTTTATGACCTGTGTGAGTGTTTGTGGAGAGGTCTCAGCCAGCAGAGCCAGACTGAGAGCACGGTGCAGCTCTCTGACAGCAGTAGCCAGACAGAAGGAGAACGGGGTGTAAGATGTACGAGGAGACGCTGTATCTTCAGCCACAGCTAGGAAGTGACGGGAGCCATCCAGCATGGCTGATAACACCTGAAGTGCGCATGCACGAACCTGAGAAGAAGGAGACAGATTTTGCTGTCACATTCGTGGAGGAGAGTTACAACATGAGTGAGGGTATGTTGTACCTTTGGCGAAGAGTCCTTCAGTATAATTGTGAGGAGAGTGAGAGGTGGCGGTCCTGCAGTAGGAGAGTCAGGAATGAAGGATGACCAGTACCCATACAGAGTCCTTTTCTCCACACCCTTCATTACAGCTAGCAAACAGTGCAGCGCTCCCTGACGTACACGGCCGTGATAAAGTCTGAAGGAGAGAAGAAATGCAGGATAGACAACCCAGAAAATCATTGTTCACTCATTGATGAAGGAAAGGGGATATACAGTAACAAACTCTAATCTGTTTTCTTGTTAACTGGCATTAGGAGGAAAATAAACCTTTAATGGCTGACTTTACATATGCATCCACTTTATAAATAAGTAAGCATTTTAGAAAATAAAGCAATTTTTTCTCAAATGTAACTTGCTTTTTAAGATATCTTAAACTTGTATTATTTCGGTGCATGCACAGAATAAAACTTCAACTTTCAGTAAAAACAAAATAAAATGCATGCTTGTATCAATGAAAGAAAGCAGTGACATGGATGGACATGGGTAGCATCCATCTGTACCTTAACTTGCTCTGTGCGCTGCCCTCTGGGTCGGAAAACTCTGAGTCAGAGCAGTTTCTTTTCCAGGATGGGTAGAGAGACAGGGCTGAGGATTTAGACAAGGAGTCTCCCTCACCTCTGCCTCCTTTCTGAAGTGCAAGCCCCATCTTTCTATCATCTTCCTCTCCATCGTCCCCTCTGCTCTCATCAGTACCCGTCTTCTTCCCCTTTCCTCTGGATTTCCTCTTTTTATTCTTAGGAGAGACAAACCAATCAACCAAAAATGAGTGTTTCATCACTGATGGCAACATGGTCCTTACTAGAATTCAGACCAAAAAAAAAGAAAGGCTTGCCTTACCCCTGAGGTTTTGTCTGGCACAGCAGCATCCTTTGAAGGTTAAAAAAAAATCAGCAGGCTTTGCAGCAGACGGACCCTCGTACTGAGGAAGAGGTGCTGGGTAAAGCACAGCCGGCCACTGGACACACACACCTGGACTTCCTTGGAACATGAGCCTCTGTAGAATACATAAGCATCTGCAAATTATTACCACAATAGAAACTGTCACGTTGCTGGAATAGGACAACCGATTAATAAAATCTACAACTGTGTAACAATTTTGCACCTTAAGTGCAGCCAGCACAGACCCAAGCTCCTCCCCTCCACCAAATTTCCACTTCCCACCTGAGAGACAACACTGAAGCCCCTTCAGTGCTGCCTGGATCACCTGCATAGAGGACACAAGAGTCATGCCATGGTTCAGCTATGATTAGATGTATTTTTTCCCCAATTGAATCTTCAGGTACAACACACAAATCCATACCATGCAGTAAAAGAGCTCATCGGTGTTGGGAGGTCTGGGTGACTGCAGTGTTTTCAGGAAGACTTTGAAACATACACTTCTGTATTGATCATCCAAAGGTGGCTGACCAGGGAGCCTGGGGAAAAACAGTTGTGTATCAAAGCTGAAAACAGCTGCCGTCCTCTGCAAAGCTACATTGCCTACTGCCGTTTGATAGCTTTTTGACTGAGTACAATTATGAAGCTGACAATGGCTGCAAAAAATCTTTACATTCTCTCTTGACATGTAAAGTAAGTGTCCCCACAAGACTACAGTCTAAATATCAAGTTTTAATGTACTCTTGTAATCTGGATCCAGATATTGCAAGAAAAGCACTTATTTCACCTAACCCTAATGTCTAAACTCCCACTAAGCCCTAACTCCAAGTTTACGACACCCCTTCACAAATTAGATCAGACACACCACATCCATATTTTTATGTTGTTTACAAATTGGATACACATTTTACAGAGATACAAATGCACAAACTGGCTACTGGCTAAATGTATAAGCCTACCTGAGACAGATGTTGGCCATACAGGTAAGGGCAACACGGCATAACTCAATATTTGGCTGTGATGGAGAACTATAGAGCAGGAGGACTCCATCCTCACCCAGTAAGTCACTGAGATGCTATGAATGAGAAAAATATGAGTAACCTGTGATTACAACACACTTTGACAGAGCTTGCACAAATACCTACCTGTTGGCACTGATGACCATTCCCATAAACTATTGTGGAGAGTGCCAGGAGGACATCTGAATGCGTCCACGTACTGCACACTTTCAACGCACTGGCAACATAGTCCATCAACACATCTAACGTCTGCTCATCCATTATCACCTTAAATAGGAGCAAGAGGAATAAATGAGTAAAAACGAATCGCCAGTTCCTACTCAACATATGCAGCTCTACTGTTACTAAAAACTGGCAGTTACCTTTAGCTGATTGAGTAGATGATGTATGAGCTGGCAGAGTTTGATGACTAAATGCTCTTGACTCAGCGGCACCAGGCAGCTGGCATGTTTCAGCACAGTACACACGTCCTGAAATGGGTCCGCAAAAACAAGGATGTCTTTCACATAATCAAAAGCATAATTCTAGATAATTCATATAGAAGAGTGTGTTACCTCCGGTCTGATGTTGATATTGGGGGCGAAGGTTTTGTTGTAGTTTTCAGACAGAAGCTGATCCAACAGCAGGTTGAGCTCCTCCCTGAGCTGGACTGAGTCTGTTCGCAGGGCTCTGAGCTTTGCGGCGCAGCAGGAAAACAGTTTCTCGGCATCCGACGGCGAGTCGAGCTCCCAGGCGTGAGCCCCCATAGGGGTGAACGGGGTGGCCTCCGCGGACAGAGCCACCGGAGGAAACGCGAGGACACCTGTGTGGCCAAGAGGCGGCACTGAAAACCCGTTTTCAGCTGCCATGTTAGCATCCCCGGAAGTATATTAACTACTTCTTGTTCGGTGGATTTTCGCTTTTCATTCCGAGAGTAACGCCCAAATGCCTGGTTCGTTACCGCCCCCTACAGTGTGAACCAGAAACGCACCTCGCTCCAAATTACTATCCAGTTTCATAGTCTCCCTCAGATGAATAAACTATCCTAAAGTACAATATCTGGAAAAAATGATAGTATAAACGTACACCATTACAAAAAAAAGTCTAGCAAACACAATATTAAATTACAGGGTTAAAGTTTAATATATTGTTTCCACAACTACACATTTAACATATTAATGCAATACTTTTTGTATAGGCTACATTTTGTTAGGACCTGTGTGTTTGTATAAAGGTACATAAGGAGGGGCTGCTTATGTTTTTGGATGAAAATCTAATGAGAATTTCAAACTGTGGCTTTTTAAATACAAAGCGCCTTGACATACCATTTAGTTGATTCTCTGTTGAATTGCACAATGATGTTTTAGAGACTTCACTTAACGCAGGCCTGTTCAACAATTTCAAAAACAATTTGCTTCAAGTCTTCCACAATTTCTTAGTAGTTTAGTATTTTATTGTGGAAATTTTCCAGCTACCCACAGCTGCCTGTTCTAGAGCAATACACCAGAAAGTTATTTTACAATACTCTAGAAAGCTATTCAACAATATACCAATGGCTCCATTGCAGCCTCAAAGAATAAAAATATGCATCATTCACAAGACTATTAGAATATTACAAGAAAAAAAAAATTGTTGCCCAACCCAACAAGACACACAAACACTGGACACATTTGAACCAATTTATTGTTTCATAGTTTTACTGTGCTGAACATGTCAAAGACACCAGAAAGCACAATAAATTACATTCCAGAAACATACAGCAGAAACACTGAACACTTACAACTGGGTGGAAACAGGAAAGTGCACGCATGTACAAAACCCTGAACCTCTCGGCATATAATTCTCATATTTAGTGTGAGCAATAGTTTTGGCATTTTTATTCTCTGTCAACACTGAAAATTAAAGGCATTTCAACAAAAACTGTCCATTTTTTTTTAGTTCAATGAAAAATTATACAGCAGCCACAAGAAATAATGTACAAGGACTATGCATCAACAGGGGGGGGAAAAAAAAAAAAGGAAAATTTGTTGTGCTGTCAAATGTGCAAATGCTGACCTCGTGCTGGCATGATTAGTATTGGAGGCTTTTTTTTTATGTAGGGGGAAAAAATTAATTACCCATCCAGGCAAGACTAATACGCCATCCACTGATGGTGGTAGTGCTGTAGCAGGAAACCAGGAGGTAGACATGTCTGCAGAAAAGTAGTAGCAAATGTACAGCGTAGCACAGATGTATTGGAGGCTGAATTAAAAGTCGTTTTTTTGGGGGGGGGTATGTTCAGACCTCAGCCTGACTTGAACAGCAGAATGGCCACTTGACCCAGGTAGAAGTAGATGAAATGCTTTGTCTCGTGCGTCACATAGCTGCCAAAGTTCCTCCCAACAATACAATGCCATGTGGGATTGTACTTCTTGTCAAACTCCTGCGGAAGAGATGATCGTTAGCACATCAGAGGTCAGACTCAAGCATTACATCGGTACTGCTCTTAATGATAATGTACCTTCTTGACATAGGCTGCGATGTCCTTCTCAATGTTGTACTTTTCCATTGCCTGCATGGCAGAATCCACTGCATCCTGTTGCATTTCATCAGACATGTCTGCATTCTTTATCACTGCCTTTTTGTCTGACATATTGGCCTTTTGCCTGCACAGAAGGTGGTCATATTTAGTGGCACTTTGCAGAGAGTTTTTGACTTCGAGCTCATGAAACTACCATAACATCTCTCCATTTCCATGAGTGCAACCCTGCTGCCACCATTTGCTTACAAAAACAATCACTAGATGTAGATTATGGTTTACCAGTTTGCATTTTGAAATTATCTACATTTATAGAGAGCTAAATGTCTGACACCTTATCTAGTACAGGAAACCTCAAAGCAGCACCATCTGGTTCACTCGGGGGAAAAAAATAAAAATAAAAAAATAACCCCCTTATCTGCAGCTATTCAGTTGCTCCCTCAACCCTGTGGGCTCCGTTTCCAAGTAATGGGCCTAAGCAATAAAAAGTTGCTGAGCTGGTATGCACAATTCAGCAACATTATTGGAGAAGACGTACCTGTACTGTGCAGCAAACAGTACCATTACTTTGCTACCTGTGAATCAACACCTAACAATTTCTGCACACATTCAACAAGTTACTATCATAACTCAAAAGTGACCACCACCACTAACACAAGTTACGAGGTTCGTGACGTCAAGACAGTGAAAACGCATTCATATAGCTTCTCTTGACAGTACAAGTGATTTTGGCGAGTTTAACATGCAAGAAGCCTCACTATTCACTCCCACCCACTGACGGTCACTGTAGACCTGTTCTATTTGCAGTAGCCTGCACAAAGCAACTGACACCATCGCACATGCAATCCACCCTTACCGTCTCTTCTCTGCGTTTAACGTTCAGGCGTTTGCGTTACAAACCACTGGGCCAAATTTTTCTTTCATTTATGCAAGAAAGCGTGCGTCGCTTCTCCGCCCTCCACATCGTGTCCACTGCCTGATTGGCTGGCGCGAAGCCACCACCCTGCCAACGGCGATTAGTACTTGCGGACAGTGTCTGCATCTTATTTCCACCCAGAATGCACTGTTTTCATCCTCCTGCCTCCCTCTTAGTGAGCGTGATGGATCCAGGTGATCGAGTTGATCCATAGAAATAATCGCACAAAATCCAAATACTTCTGGGTGATTTATAGAGCGGAGTTTTATTCTGGAAAATATATAGTTTGGCTCCATGTAACCGACCAATTTTTACCAATTATATGTATACGATATGATAATTGTATCAATAAAGGCTCATATCCATAAATGCAAATTCAATGTGGAAAAAATTCCAAAGGTCAAACAATAAGTTTCATCATTTAAATTTCTGAAAACACAAAGGCCATAAAACCCCAAGAACTTTAAATTTTTATGTATGAATTGCATCTATGTAACCCCATGGCTCTAAATATCTTTAGACATGTGTATTCACTGTTTGTTATTGTATAAAGATCATTTTTAATAGATGGCACAATTGTACATTTATATCTTTTCAATAAAAAAAAAATTTTTGAGCTAGCATTATAGATTTTACAGACAGGAGGCAACACTGGTTCCTCTCCAATCATAAACAAAGAACAGGCCTAGGCCTACTCCACTAAAAATAGAATGTTTTACAATGATTTCCTAAAATGTCAGATATTCACTGGCACTGAAACTCCAATTTGCAGCCCTACAGACCAGAGTATCTGTATTTCTGAATGTCAGGCTCAGTTATCTTTGAAAAACCGGAATCTTAATTACTTGTCTCTATGTTAGCACAAGGTATTAGAACATTTCCCCCTCACACATGAATAATGTTAAGTGTATTATTGGAATTTTCTTCTGCTTTAACATCTACAGGCAAACCAGACAGACACTGATCTTTCTTTATTTAGGACCAAATGGGAATGTAAGTAGGCTAGTCACTGTTCAGTGTAATGAATCTTTGGTGATAGAACCCTGCCACTACAGACTTAGGATCATCTTTCCCATTGGAATGTGTTTCTTCATATATACATGAACATGCAGCAACTGAAACCCACTGACTGCTTTAACATTTCAGTGACAAATTGTTCAGCGCAGTCAACACATGCACTAAACTTTTATTTTGGGGTAAAAACATAATTTGCATTTAACTGCTTTTGAAAAGTTGGTATAAATTTACAAAGGCACTAATAACATTCTGTCTAGTCACATAATGCAAGTGTAAAGCTATCTGCACTTTCCAGCTGCTCAGTACCTTTGTGTTTGCTTCAACTCACTTTTACACTGGTAGTGAAATTTGAGTTGTTCTACTACAGAACAGATACTAAAAAGAAAAGGAAAAACAATAACATTGGCTATAAAATGAACATTTATTGGAGATAATACTTATTGTAACAAAAGCTTGTCCTCTGCAGCAAAAGACTGACCTATGAGAAAAAAAACTAAACAAAACACACTAAAGTCATATTCCCCTGTCACCTCCCAGTCCCCTCCCCCCAACCTCTGTTAATGTTTGCCCACTATTTACCACTCTCCTTACGTGCGTAGATCCATCCTGCACCTCTCAGCCCTCCTCCTGGTTTTGATCCAAGCTCTGCTCTTCTCAATCATAATTTACAAAATAACTGCTCATCACGGTGCCGTCAGTAACTGTGTCTCTGTGGTCCCAACCAAAATGGAAAAAGTAAATTTGATTATTTGAATGCCAATTTAGTTTGAATATTTTACTACAATGTTTCCGGTTTGATGGTGTTATCTGGACAGGGCCAGGGGTCGGGATCCTCTCCCGGTAAAATGCTCCCATGCTCCTGCTCCATGTATCCATCCTGAAGCCTAATCCTAATCTGATCCTGATTCCTGATCCGGCTCCGGATTGGGGAGACAATGAGCCCAGTCCAAACCTTCAGATACCAGCAGAACCAAAGAGAAGGAGGCAAGTTAGAATCAACTGAAAATGTCAGTGAATGCATCTGAGGGAGTTTACACTGAATAAAACAAGCGACATCCTCCCTGATGAATACCAAGGAAAAAATATAGCAATTGCTTTGGATACTAAAATGTGAGGAAGAGTAGAAACACCAAGAGATCACAGTGTACAGTATATGAAGACTGTATACAGTTAATAGAAACCATCCTGGCCCAACACCGAATTTTAGTATCTTTTTGAAAAACTGCAGGACCAGTGAGGAAGCACTGGGCTTTAAGGGTGACTGATAGAAGGCAAGTAACCTGATGAAACTTATAATGGAAGCATGCACAAGTATAACAGCAAAAGCACAGAGAAACAAAGCTTGTAATACAAGCATAAACAACTGGTAACAGTGCTCAGCTATTTCCAAGCCTACATTCAAAGTAAAAACAGACTAATGCCTTATTTCATGACATTTCAGAATTGCGAGAGGCCATAGCCATCATACCATTGTTGCCATATTTGGCTCCTCCTCCTCCTGTTTATCTTAATATGAACTGTTTCCTTTTCCTCTGTTCCCATCCTATCCTGCTCCTCTGAACTCTACAGGGAGACACACGAAAAAATCAAAGTGCAATTGTAAATACAATACAGAGGAAAAATTATATACCCATACCAACTGCAAAATAACTAGAACATTAGGCATAAAATGATGGATTCTTCCAAAAATGTAGCTTTTCCTTCAACACTCCCTGGAAATAGAGAGGGAAAATATGCAAAAATGGGGAGACAAGGTTAGCAGAGAAGGGATGTTGACCATTTCAGTATGAAAAGGAAACATTGGGAAGAGGGACAGTGAGGAAAAAAATATAAGAGAGAGGGCAAAATATGGAGACCAAGGTATTTCAGTCATCTTATCTGGTCAAAATAGGACCTGCCAGAATGCAGAAAAAAAAAATCACAACAGAACACTAGGGAAACAGAAACACACATGAAGAGAAACGGCAGACACTAACACAGCATATGGTCCATGGACTTGTTTCTGTGAAATTTGTCTTCTCCGCTCTGAGATGCACTGCTGGGTTGATCTGGCTGGTGGTTTAACTGAGGTCAAGTGTGTCTTAAGTGCGAGAGCGAGATCGCCGGGGGGAGGAACGTGGAGAGCCCTTTCTGCGACGAGGGGAGTAGCTGCGAGAGCGGCTCTTGTTCTGGCTTCGACTGCGGCTACGAGAGTGTGAATGGCCATAACTGGGACTGCGAGGACCATCCATCTTCACACGAATGTAGGCCGTCTCTCCCTAAACACACACAAAAATTAAAAAGGAGTGGGAAAACAGCTGCTTGCTGAGTTATTATACTTAAAACCAACTGGAAAAATGTTTCTCCTCTGACAAAAGTAGCTCTCAATAGAAGTGATATACAACAGAGTGTGACATACTATCAGAAAAGCTTCGTCAGTCCTGTACCTCGCAGTCACAGAGGGGATAGCTGTCAGTATAATGACAAAGCAACAACAAATTGAGCACACATATAAACTGACCTTTACTTTCTGTGCAGTTGTTTTCACCCTTACGCCCAATATTCTCCACTTAACCTGCTCCATGATTCACTTCAGTACTTACCTTAAATAAACCGTTTCAGTGCCAATATCTAGTCCCAGAGCTACTCCCTGCTGTCACCCTAACCTACCTCATGAGAGCGAAACTTGGTGTTATCCAATTTACGGACAGCGTAGGTCATGTCTTCTTTGCGTACAAACTCCACTACCCCGGTGCCATCACGGTACACATCAGCATAACATACATCACCTGCCTCTCGCATGTGATCCTTCAGGTCCTGCCAGCTTCCACTGGAAGGAAGACCTGACAGGAAAGAAGAAGGTCAACTGTTACTACATTCAAGGTTAAAAGTTAATCCATTAGAGGCACACCTC